TAGACCTTCAAAACTATGGTACCAGTCTTTTCTCAATCGTCATCCCCAAGTGTCACTGAAGCTAACACAAAATTTATCTCTTAGGACAGCTGAAATGTCAGAGAAAGATGTCCGTAATTTGTTTCAAAACATAAAGGTATATTTAGAATCTAAAAATTTGTTAAATATCAGTGGTTCGAAGATTTTCAATTGTGATGAATCGGCTTTCTTACTGAATCCAAAATCTAAAAAAAATTGAGTTCATTATTGAGTTCTTAGTCTTTTTATGTAACAAAGTATCTATGATCAGAATCTAGTTCTTGACCTGATCAGAAATTGATTCTGTGAGTAAAATGGTTGATCAGAAATTAGTTCCATGTAACTCACGGATATTTTATCTCATTATTAACTTAATTATGACTATTATATCATTTTTCCAAATGCAACTTAAAGTTGAAATGTTGATCTATCGTTTGAAAACAAAAAAGAAAAAATTTTTTTCTTTTAATGCGTTTAAATATTGAGGGCAACATGGAAGTGCTCCTTAACTGATCAGAAACTAGTGCCTTGACGGTATGACTAACTGCGCTTTTCCAAAGGGCCGTGCGTGCGTGCGTGTGTGTATAGAGAGAGAGAGAGAGAGAGAGAGAGAGAGGGGGGGGGCTATTATGAGATACCGAGTTCATTTTGGGTAAATGCTAGAAGTCTAAGGCAGGTTTTAAAAAATAATAGGGATCATTTTGAAAGGAATTTAATAAGCTTTAAGATAACGTTACATAAAATTTAATTCAAATTCCATTTTTTTTAAATTAAAAAAATGTAAAAAGTGAGCAAATCGCAAAGTCAAAAAATTGTGCTTCTAATATGAAACGCCCCGAGAAATCGATAGTAAAACGCAAAGTATATCAGTATTGCAATTAAAAAACTTTATTTAATGTTTCTAAAATACGAACAAACACAGCCAGTGTGCGCGAAAAATGAGCATGCGATATATTATACCCAGAACTTGTTTTCAGATAGTTGAAATCAAGCATCGCAGAGGCACTCGACGTTCGTTCCGGTTGTCTTTTTTATTGTTGTACAATAATATTTATATTTTAGCAACGATTTTTACTATAACATAGGAGTATAGGTTATTTCATATTAGAAATACCCTGGGTATCTCATATTACGATTTCCAAATCTTATGATTTTACGATCATCAAATCTAACTTCTGTAATTAAATAATTTAACATATCCCGTATTTTTCTATTAGTACGACTTTACTTTATCACTACATGAAGAATTTATTGCCAAATATTTATTTATTAAATAATAAACAAGGTTTAAACTTTAAATGCTCACCTCAATGAAATTTGAAGACATCCAAATTCTAAAATCTTGTTTTATAATGACTACGGGCATGATCTAATAATGAATTTTCTGCTAAATAGTTTTCAATCCAAGAGCAATAAATTCATGGTGGAACCAATAGATTTATTAGTTTAACAGAAACGCCGCTATCTCATATTAGGCGCCTATCTCATTAAATAGGGGGCTTTCCTCTATATATCGGGGTGTGATGCAATTAGGATTCATCTCTTTTTTCCAAAGATTTCCTAATTATTTCGAAAGAATAGGAGTGATTAGAGTTATTTCATTTTACATGTGAATCAGAAAATGTGATCAGACTTATCTGTGAGTCACAAGGCCACTGCACGTGCTTTCGAACACTAATAATTATTTTCCTTTAACTGATGTTTAGTTATTTATAATAATCAAAATTTATAATAATCAATATTCGATCGGTCATGCTACTGACTCTATTCTAGAGATAATCGTAAGTTATTCGCGTTTGAGAGAAAAACAGATTTTCTCCATGAAAGAAAAGAATCGTGGAGTCGTCAAGACGTAACATCACTAATCTCTAATGTGTGCGTGTAAATTGCAATCTTTCATCGAATTGAAAATAGTTAATATGTAATTTAAATGTAAATACGAAGCTGCGAGGATAATGTCATTTACATACTTATAGCATATAGGTAACTGTAAAAGCAATTCCTCAAGTGCTCGTTCTTCTAGGTCTTGCAATACAGTCTTCGCTATAATTGGAAAAAGAGGCGAACCCATAGGGGTGCCAAATATCTGTTTATAAAGCGAACCATTAAAAACAAAAAAGTAAAGTTAAGAACTAAGTTGATACCAATCATAAATTCTTCTTGTGTAATTTTAGTATTCCTCGATATATAATCCCATCTTTTATTTATGCTCTTCTGAGCTAAATCAACAGGAACGTTCGTAAAGAGTGAAACCACGTCCAGAGAAGCCAAAATATAATTTTTTTCTCACTTAAGAGGATGCTAAACAGTCCTACTTTACCATTATTTCAACACGGTGAAAAATCTCCGTATTGGATTTACGGATTGCAAAATTGTTATTACATAAATTAAAGTACGCACAAACAGAACCTCAGCTGCATTTTATGAAAAAATCGAAAAAAAATTAAAAAATTCACTGGCTTTTGGCTCGTACAGATGTCACCTCAGATATATATTTGCTTGATATAAGAGTTTTAGATATATCCATATCTTAAAAATAAGCGTTGTTATATAGAGCTCTTCGAGCACAAACATATCGTGCACGATGGATTATTGGCCAATACACACACTCTCGCAGCGACATGGATACGAGTTTTTTCCTTCGGTTATCTGGCATCGATTCTCCGAGAGAAGAAAGGCGAAGGCGGTATGAATCAAAGTGGTTTTCAGCTCCGCTTTATCTATGTCTCGCTTTTCTTCGTTCGGCTACGTTTTCGTCATCGACCAATCAAATGTCGAACCATGGTGGAGAGCGTCGTTCGGACGGAGAAATGGACACTTTTTCGCTGTTCGAGTCTCGGGAAGTATCAGGAAGTATCTCTCTTAAGAAACCTCTCGGATCCGTGCCGGATTTCAGGAAAAATACGTAACGTGGTGTGAAATAAGAGGTTCAGGGCGCACATCCGATCGTCCCTAGGCGATGCCTCATTACGAATCAATTACGCGATTCAACGGATATATACGATCGCTCTCGAGCGTTGTCCACGCGACTCAGGACGTCTTGTCCTTAAGCGGTGTCGTGCAAAAAGAAACATTGACTGTGTAAAGCTTGTAACGAATAGTGTATGTGTAAATTCATAAAACGTTAACTATGTAAATTCTGAATAAACTGTGCATATGAATTCAGTAGAACATTTACTGTGACTAAGTTATTTATTAAGGCGATGCTAAAGCCTTCTGTTTTACCACATTTCCATTCGGTGAAAAATCTCTGTATTGGATGTATGGATT